CCTCTGCTGGGGAGGCCACACCTGTGGAGAACCCATAAACCCTGACTTGCAGGTCCCTGTCTCCCCCAGACACCTGGAGTGACAGATGGCCTACCTGTCCTCAGGAGCATTTGTCAGGTGCCCTGCTTTTATACCCAGAAGTCCCTAAAGGCCATGAGTGTGTGCCCCTGAGTGCCTCGTTTCCGTGCAACTGCCCATGTTAGTTCTGTGAATGTTCATTATAGATTCACAGAACTTTCAGGGATGAACTTTGGTAAAAAGAAATATTTCAAGAACAAAATCTGGCATTATAAGTTTAAATGTATTCATGCACGTAAAGGCTGGCAGCCACCTGATTAAAGAGCTCTGTGGCCTTTTAAGTTCATTTACAGATAAGTTCTTAGGAACCTAACGTGAAATTTCCTATGACCCAGAGGACTCTTCAGGGCCACACCTGCTGTGTCCTGGTCATTTAGACCCCAAGCTGGGTAGACAGCCCCCCAGTGCCTCTGTGCCTATGAGTGCAGGTACATGGGTATATCCACTAGCTAGAGGGCAGGTGAGATGGGAAACTCGGGAACCAAACTAGAAATCCAAAGCGTGAAGCCAGAAGTGTGAGCCTGGAAAGAGGATCCAGGGTAGGGAAACCTCAATAGAGCCCAGCAGTGCCTAACCAAAACCTTGAGCTAGAACCTGAAATGTGGGCAGGCCTGGTGCAGGCCGAATGTCAGGAGACTTTGTCATATGTGGAAGAGGATGTAGGTAGCCTGAAGGTGGGGAGATTGGGCAGTGACTGAGACAGGGCAGAGTAGGGGTGTGGGTTGAGAATAGCCCAGTAGACAGAGGTGGGGGAGCATCAACACTAAGGTCTTTTTCAGGGCCCAAGGAGACTTTTATCCCTTCTCTCCCTGGGGCAATGGTGACCTGGGTTCACATTCTCCTGACTAAACTGTGGTTTCCATGGCCGCAGGCCTCAGGCTGGGGACTGGAGAATGATGAGGAGAAGCACTCCTGCCTCCTCCTAGCCCAGCCTTTCCCCTAACTTGCTTCCACTGGCCATCAGAGACTGTACAGCAGAGAGTGGACAGGGCTTACCCCCCCACCGGGCCACAGATCCCTGGAGGTGGCATTGGCAGGAGCTGAGTGGGCTTTGGTTGTAGCCCTTCTCCTGACTGCCAATTGGTGGTCTTTCCCGGTGTGCCTCAGCATGGGGTGAGTACCAGTGCAAAGCTGCGTTCTTGAGTCAGACCAGGATTTGGCCAATTTTACATTCAGCTTCAGACAGCTTCATCCAGGCTGAGACCACAGCAGTGAAGCAGTGATCAGCAGGGGTTTGTGGACATCTGGGATGCTGTGGGTGAGAATCTGCAGGAGGCCAGGGCTGTAACCAGAGCTCCATTTCTGTCCTGTGGGGGTGGAAGACTGGAGCAATACCGGGGTGAATGGGAGCCCTCATGTGGCCTTGCTCCTCAGATGATGTGGCCTCGAAGGTGGCCTCAGACTAGTCATGTGCAGTTTCAGGAGAGGCAGGATACTCTGTGAGGGTCAGCAACATTGCAGATGGCTCATCTTGCCTGTAGCCCACCACAGCACTTCATTTTCATGACTGGTCTCAACATCAGGATAGTTGCACAGCTCAGCTCAGAACCCAAGCCTGAGAGTGGCCCACTCTGCCAGCAGACCTACTGGCAAATACTTTCTCAATCCCGGCCAGTGAGTACCTGCTCCACCACCTATGTGGGGCTATCTGTGGTTCTCACACTGTCTAGACGCACACTTTATTTTCCTGTCATCTTTGGCAATGAAGCTAGTTCCCACCTCCTGTGAGTTGTTATCGCAGGCTTTTCCATCAGCCTGAGGAGGAAAGCTCTGCCTGGGGCTTTTTCCATAAGCCCTACTGCCCACATATCACTAGATTCATATTCTTTTATTTTCTGTACCTCACTAATTTCTAAAACTCTGAAATTTTTAGAGATATTAGGAGTGCAGTAGCTTGTGAATATCTGACTTCTGTTCCTTGTTCTGTTTGTCTTATAACTCATGCTGCCCTACCTTCAGCTCTCTGTACCTGGCTTCCTCGCTATCTGTGCAGGCCAGGCTGGAGTTGGGGATTGGGACTCACCCAGGCCAGGATATGAGCCTGGCTTGGGTGTGGGCCTGCCTGGGATGGAGTGCAGGCTGGGGCATGAGCCAGGCCAGGCTGCAGGGAATGTGGGCCAGCGTGCAAGGAGTGCGGACCAGGCTACAGGCCAGGCCAGGCTGGAGCACGTTCCCCTGAATCCCCCTTTCTGTACTTTCTGCTGCCTCTGCACCAGGAGGCTTCAACCTGACAATTCTGTGTGATACAGAAATGACCAATTTCTGTGATGTTGTTGAGCTCAGTGTTTTTCAGATTATGGGTTGCGACCCGTTATTAGATGATGAGGCCAATTTCATGTCACACCCACATAAAAACATGCTATACCCATCCCTTCCTTCTAGTGAGGGTGAGCATTATGCTGTGAGGCTCTCTGTTGTACAAGCCTCATTACTTAAGTTGTGACATGAAGCATGTGTCACGGTGGAGGTGCAAGAGCCACATACACTTTGGCATGGGTGCTGTTTTTCTTCTCATGCCTGAAAGTATATGAGTGTAAAGGCAGCAAAGGGAGAAGTGGAGGATCAGTATTTTTAGGGTTGTCATTGCATGGAAAACATGTTTTTAAAAAATGTTGTAGAACTGTTTCGTTGTCAGTAGAAGACAGTGCCAACACCACTGACCCCTTGGCAGATATGTCTCAAGGCTGCAAAATGACAATGAAGCTGGGCCTGTGGATGTTGAAGTTGGCGTCCTGTTTACAAGGCCAGACCTCTCTTACCCTAAGCATCATTTGTGCTGCGTCTGGGGATGGCACCCAAACTGCTGACCATATCCTGGAGGCTCTGCCCATACTGGTCTGAACCTTCACCAGCTGCCCTGCCCTGCCTGACTGGGCTGATGTGTTGGTTGTAAAGACAGCTATAGCAGAAGCAGATAGAAAGCTTGCTGCTTGCCCTTGAATGCATTGCAAGGAACCAAGTCTCAGTTTTCTTTGTCTGAAATAAAGGAGCACCTTGCCCCGGACTTGGTACAGGGACTCGCTAGAAGGTGTCCATGTAGGTACACGCTGCCATCACAACATCTTGATCTAACCTCTGCAGAAAGGCCATTGCCTCCACACACTTGCTCATGTTGTGTGGCTGGCAGCTGCCTTGCCATCCTCTCCTACTGGCTTTACCTGGCATCTCAGTCACAATGGCTGAGTACAGATTGGCTCCTGAATGGGCAAGCTTGTACCTAGCCCAGTGCTTTCACACTGCAGTGCCTCGTGCTCCTTCTAGAGAGCTTCTTGCCCATGCCTCCCTTTGTTCAGGTGTCTGCACATAGCCTTCCCAGTAAGACACTGGACTCTGTGTTAAGCAGCAGCCCTGGACCTACTTGTCCCTTAGTAGCTTTACAGTTCTTTTCTGGTGTTGAGGATATAACCCAGGGCCCTGTGTGTGCTAGGCAAGTGCTCTACCACCGAGCTACAGCTCTAACCATCAATTTATAAACCTTATGAATGCCTGGAATCTTAGTTCTGTGTTGGTGGGTTGTTATTAGAGGTCCCCTTCTTTTTTTTCTGAGTCTGTTGACAGAACTAGAGTGTAGCAGACCATTAAATTTAGGACCACCTTTTGGAGTGATCAGTCGATTGATCGATATATGAGAAACACAGCTTCAAAATGAATGTTTTGTCCAGGCCGTATCACATCAGTAATACTGGGAGCAGTGATTGAAAGCAGACTTGTTACTAGGCTATATGTCCTCCCCCTCCTGATATTTAGTGATAAACCTGCTGACACAAGCCCACAGTAGTAGCATTAGGAGAGAAAACACATGCAGATGTATTCCACGTACAGGACACTGCAGGAATGATATTTAACAGCTTAGGACCTGATTCACAGGGAAAGGGGAGTCATTTTTCAGTGAGCCTGATGAACAGATAGCAGAGCTGGGCATGGTAGCCCACACTTGTGCACTTGAAAGGTGGAACAGGAGGATCAGGGGATAAGGTCATCCTCACCTACATAGTGAGTTTGAGGCCAGCCTGGGCCCCGTGAGGTAGTCACCAAACCAGACCAAACCAACCAAAATCCCAAGCCGGGCATGGTGGTGCACACCTTTAGTCCTAGCAGAGGCAGAGGCAGGATCTCTGTGAGTTCAAGGCCAGCCTGGTCTACATAGTGAGTTCCAGGATAGCTGGGGCTACAGGGAGACCCTGTCTCAAAAAGACAGAAAAAAAAACAAAAACAAAAAACCAACCCAAAACATAGCCAAACAAAGAACAGATAGCAACCTCAGGTGGCATGGCACCAGCTCATAAATTCTCTTCTGCCCTTGGCAACAGTCTCCTCTGGCGATGGTACCCAAGCTGACCGTCTCCTGGAGACACCACCTATAGGCAAACTAGAGCTTTATTTTCAGAGAAGGCCTTGCTTACTGTGTCTGCTGCTGCTGAGCACCTTCACAGTGCTGTGCTCGGGGCAGCAAGGCATCACACTTTTGGGTACTGATTTTGTACCCCAACAGCCTGTTCTTGGGGTGCCTGGTGTTGCACAGTGGTTACTTTATTAATTTATATGTACCTTCTTCACCTGCCTGGAAATCTTTGGGGACTTTACTGTAATCCCTGGAAAGGTGGGTAAGGAGTAAATATCCCCCATTTTAGGAACAGAAATGGTGCCGTAGTTGCCAGTTGTGTTTTTGGGAGCTTTGGCTTTATGTGATTTCCATGGACAGATCCCGAGTTCCGGGCCTTTCACATCTTGTCTTGCAAACTACAGATACTCGGCTTCCCACATGATGATGCTCCAGGCTGTTTTCAGCTACTTGGGTGATTAAAATGGTCTTCCTATGAATCAGCCAAGGCCACCATTTCTTAGTTTAACATTTACTGCCATCTCTGTGATGATCACTCCTGTTTCCCCTTGTCCCACACCTTCTGCTTTGGTTTTTCTAGGGAAAGTCCGGTGGTCAGACTTCAACCAGGAGGCGTATGTTGGAGGGACGATGGTTCGCTCTGGACAGGACCCCTATGCTCGAAACAAGTTCAACCAGGTGGAGAGTGACAAGCTACGCATGGACAGAGGCATCCCAGACACCCGGCATGACCAGTAAGTCCTGACAAGCACTGGAAATGAGTTGTAACGTCACCTCCTGGTGACTGGATAGTTTGCAGAGGCAGTAGGCTGCTGGCCAGAGGGAGGTGCAGTCAGAAGAAGGTTGTATTGGTCTTGGCATTTGCTGAAGTTCCATTCATAAAACATGGGATTTCCCACTACACACAGCCTTGAAGAAGGAAATCTAAACATACTTACTGGTTCAACTTCAGTGGGAACATTCTAGAGCTCAAGGAGCAAATTCATTTGCCAGCAGTTGGGAGGGGCAAGTGACACGATGCCACTCCCAGCTGTGATGAAGGCTCCTCCAGACTCTTATTGTCCTGACACCTTGGGTTGGGGTGGAGGGCCCAGCTCAGGGCATCGCCAGACATTTAAGAATATTCTGGGGGCTTGGGAGATATCTCAGCGGTTAAGAACACATACCGCTCTTTCAGAGGACCTAAGTTAAGTTCCCAGCATCCACATCGGGAGGCTAATGCCCCTGGCCTCCATGGACACCCACATACACGTACACGTACCCACATAGAGACATACATGTAATAATAATAAAAAAATTCTGCCAACACTTTGAAGGAAAGTGGTGTTCACAGCCCTGGTTTTCCCCCTGTGTGCTTAAGTGTGACTTTAATAACTTTGTTCCCTCCAAGGTTCTTGTGGACTGGTCTTGGTTTGGGTCACTGAGAAGTGAGGAGCCACTTCTTACAGCCTTGAACAGGACAGCTCTTGTCCTGGGAACCTCGCAGGTCTTCCCACACATGCCATTGCTTTTGAGTCACTGGTTCCTTGAGTGTATGGTGTATCTCACATCTGCCAGTGGGCAGGCCGGACATGGATCCTGAGCCCTGCCTGGTTGCTAGAGTCCAGCATACAGCAGACCTGAAGCCCCCCTGGTGGGTGGACATGCTGAGGGTGTGAGGGCCAGGACAGGGATCTGGGGTCTCTAGGAAAAGGGACAGTGCAGAAGTTGGCCAGGCTCCCATAGAGCCATCAGGAGTCCATGTTAGACTTTCATCACTGGGCAGATACTTAAAAGAAACAGCTTAAAGAGGGAAAGATTTATTTGGGCTCACAGTTTTAGAAGTTTCAGGCCAAGGTTAACCAACTCTATCCATTTGGGCCTGAGAACATCATAGTGGTGGGAACCTGTGGCAAAGGAGGATGCCTTCCTTACCTGGGCTGGGAAGTGTGAGCCTGTGCTGCTAGGCTCCCTCTTCCTTCTGTTTGTATTGTATCTAGGCCCCTAGCCTATTGGGTAGGACTGTACAACTTTCAAAGTTGCTATCCATTTGCCAGTTATTGCTGAACACACCCTCATGTACACACTCACAGGTGTGTTTTGCTAATCTGGGTGTCTCTCATCACAGTCTGGCTTCAGAGACTGAAGAAGGTAAATCAGGGAGACAGGTAGCAAATCAACCTGGCAGTCAACTTTGTGCCCTAGGGGGCATTTTCCTCTCAGGACCAGTGCAGGTACTGAGAGGACTGCCAGATGCTCTGTCCCTTCCTAGCACTCATCTTTGGGTTGTGGACAGCTCTGTCACTCAAAGCAGCTTTTATTTAGGAAACAGGTAGCTTTACTGTTCTTTAGAAACAGGGAGTATTGGATGATTTAATGTGTGGCCCACGTGGTCACCCTGAAGCAGATGCAGTATGGGTGCTTATCCTTCTTTTTTCCTTTCTGAGGCAGGGTCTCCCTGTAGTAGGGCTGGCCTAGAACTCACTATGTAGACCAGGCTGGCCTTGAACTCACAGAGATCTACATACCTCTGCCTCCCAAGGGCTGGGATTAGAGTACCCCACCTCACCTGGCCACTTGATTTCTTTCTTCTTTTTTTTAAATATTTTATTTATTATTTTTATTTTATGTGTACGAGTGTATTGCCTGCATGTATGTGAGTGCACCCATGTCGTGCAGTGCTACAGAAGTCAGAAGAGGGCTTTGGATTCCCCTGGAACTGGAGTTAAGGACAGTTCGTAGCTGCCATGTGGGTGCTGGGAATCGAACCTGGGTCCTCTGCAAGAGCAGTCAGTGCTCTTAACTGCTGAGCCATCTCTCCAGCCCCTTGATTTCTTTTTTAAGGCATTTTTTCCTCAGCTCAGAAGCTTTGCTTCTGGGTATAGCCAGCCTACTTTGCTCCTATCTAATCCAGGGGTACTACCCTGGGTCCCAGGGCCCCTAGGAGCTGAGTGTTAGCTTTGGAACTCTCTGAAGGCCCTGAGCCTGAAGCTTCATGCATGGTCAAACCCGTGTGCATGTCTAGGGTAGGAGGGTCCCTTGCTCTTTCCAGATGGTCCTGAGTGTGTCTCTACTACCCTTTTTCCCAGCTAACAACCTGTGCCAAACACCCCTTAGGGACCACCTGAGGAATCCTCACAACCCCTGGTAGGACATGTAAAGTTGTCTTCATGTCCCAGAGAGGAAACTGAGGCACCTGGCATGTTAGTAACCGCCCCAGAAATTAGGAGCTACTGACATAAGGCCAGAAGGATCAGTGAGCCTCTAAAGAAGGGCCTGTGATGGTTAATTTTGTCAACTTGACAGGATCTAGACTCATCTGGGAGACAAGACAGTGGGCATGTGTCTGAGGGAGTTTCTAGATTGGGTTAACCGAGAAGGGAAGACCCACTGTAAGTGTGGGCAGCACCATCCGATGAACTGGGGTCTTAGACTGAATAAAAAGGAGAAAGTGAGCTGAGCACCAGCATGCATCTCTCTCTGCTTCCTGTGGATGCAGTGTGACCAGCTGTCTTACACTCCTCCCAGCATACCTTCCCTATCATGATGAACTGTACCCTCAAACCTTGAGCCAAAACCAACGCTTCCTTATGTTGATTTTTGTCAGGTATTTTATCATAGCAATGAAAAAAGTAACTAATATGGAGCTTCAGTGCCAGGGAATAGAAGCCAGTGGAGTCAAAGCAAAAATGTCACCTGGCCCCTTCAGCCAGACAGAAGCTAGGCCCCCAAGTGGGATGGTCACGCCTTCACCACTTTCCTAGAAGCCCTGGAGAGTCAAAGGGGAAACCTGATGTCTTCCATTGATGCCATGAGACAAGATTTCTGAGGCCAACATGAGAACATGGCCAATATTCCCTTCCAGAGGCCCTGCTGGCTTTGGATACCACTTAATTTACCCTGATCCAGCCAATAGGAAAGGCTCTGTCTCTGCAGTCTCACTTTGTGGGCTGAAGTCCTCACACAGCAGACGTCAGTCTCCTGTGGCAATGGACCTGGAAGTGGAACAGGTGAAGGTTTGTTCAGGATGAGGGGTGTGGAACCCCATAGGCCTGGCTTGATGCCCCAGACTCCCTCAGTGCTTTCCTCTGTGACCTCTGTCCCCCATAAGGTGACATGAAAATGGTCTCCTGTGGGCTTTGTGGCTCAAAGGACTCCCATTGAAAATCTCCATTCCTCTGGCCAGCTGCCAGTGGAATTGTTTATGGACTAAACTTACATGTTGAAGTCCCCAACCTCCAGTGTCTGCATTTGGAGATAAGGCCTTTGTGGATATGATTAAGGTTAGATGGAGTCTTGAGGGTAAGACTCTGATTGGATGGGACAGGTGTCCTAATAAGAGGATGGAGGGAAAGGGAAAGAAGGAAAAGGGGGTGGGGGAAAAGATTAAGAGAGTGATTGTCCCCTTGACCATATGAGGACACAATGAGAAGAGGCCATGCTGGAAAGAGGCCATGCTGGACACCAACCCTTGATCTGGAACTTCTGCCATAAAAAAGGCTAGTATGTGCTAAATCACTGGCGGAAGAGACAGCACAGAAAGGCTGCCTCCACTGGCAGCCATGGGAGGAACTGACCCAGCAAGCCCTGAATAATTTGGGGATCACTGCTTCTGTGGCCCCTTGTGCTTTTCTAATGTCCTCAGCAGTGGGGTGTAGGCCAGGCAGATCCCCTAGCTGCCCTCCTAGGGAATGCCAAGGTGGACCTCAGCTGCAGCCTTTATAGGAGGATGTGGGATCACACCTACGAGTGGTTCTTCAAGGACTGCATGTAGCATCTGAGCAGAGCCAGAAGTTTCCAGGATATCTCAGCTAGGAGCTCAAGGTAGTTTACTCTAAAACCCTTTCTGTTGGGAATCCAACAAGCCTGCATGGGAAACACATTGCTGGGGATCACTTCTTGCTGGCCAATCTCTTCCCCCTGTGTGTGTGTGTGTGTGTGTGTGTGTGTGTGTGTGTGTGTGTGTTTCATTAAATCCCCCGAGAATGAGAATTGCTGGGTGAAGGCAGACTCCCTCAGCTTTCCAGTGTTAGGTCAGTAGAAAATTGCTTCCCTTTCTTTTTAATCTCAAATTTCAAGTGTGTGATTCTCAGAAGTATTATGTCTCAAACTAAAACTGTCCTGAAATTGGGGTGCCCTGCTGAGTTATAAACCTGACCCTTTGTCTGGCTGGTTTTTCAGTCTAGAGCATTTTTGCTCAGTTTAGTCTGGTTGCTCAGCTCTAATGTGCTGAGAACAACGGCCTTTTAGAAGGCCCGGCTCTGAACACTTCCAGCCCTTGGGATGTTATACTCTCAGAAATATCACTGGCTTCCATCAGGACATTCAGTGGGCGGTGGGTGTTGACATACTGGGTGCACTCTCTCTCCCTCTGGGGCATCAGCACTGGCTGTGTTCTGAGCCAGCCTGGCCAGGCCTGGGACTATGGGCGAGTCACAGCCCCAAATCTCAATGTTACTTTAGAGAGTAAACACTGTTGATGCCAAGAGAAGGCTCCCACGGGAACCCGATAGCACAGAGCGAGGCCTTGGTAAAACTGTCATCATCGGATTGTGGTTTCCTGTTGAAGACCTGGTGCAAACCCAGCCCCCTTAGTGGAGCAGCCATCATTCTGCAAGGCTGGCCACACCAGCACTGGGCATGCTCACCTGGGCCCCTGTGCTTTTTGTCTGAGACCTACTACTGAGTTTCTTCTGTCTTCTGGGTAGGCTGACACCCTCATCATGTGAAATCTCCAAATCTCTCCATCACCCAT